GGAACGATTGTCCTTTCCGAGGATGGATGGTACCTGTTTTGCACTATGTTAGCAATGGGACAGGACCCGATGTGGCTTCTAGGGGATGCAGAGGCCCAAACCCGAAAAGAAGGCAAGTGGTTCACCAATATGGGGTGGGACAAAGTCAGTAGCAGAGTTGTGATGGGAGGATGGAAAGAACTTAAGCCTCCAAGTCTAGGGATAACGGCTTGGGTACCAGAGTTCATAGCCGAGTGGTTTGGAGGGTTTGAAAACATTCTGGAAGTAGCTGACTCCATGAGAAAGGTGCATATAGAATGTGCCTGGCTGACTGAGGAGTTTTATAGGCTCTCATTGAAATATGGGCCCTTCTACGGAGATAAAGCCGAGGAAGTCATCATCGTCCTAAGAATAGGCAGGTATGACCGCTTAGATGTAGAGGCGGAGTTTTGGGACGCCATAGTTAGCCGGGAGGTGGCGGCCGCACCCTCCTACGTAGACAATGTCTTTAAACTATTTGAGGTGCTGTGGTTCGACTAAACGAGGACGAGGGATCGATCACCGAGAAAAGGCCTGAGTGTGGAGGGTGTTTGTGAATCAAGGTGAACATAAGAAAGGGAGTGCGTACATTAGGCCGTAGATGGTGCATAAGGATCGAAACAAGGGGGAAGTGGCAGCAATCGAAAAAAGAGGGCAGGGGTAGAATTGTATGTGTATGAGTCATGGATAGCGGCAAGAACCCATGTACGATAAGTAGGGAGGACTGAAAGACTAAAACACGAAAGACATGAAATCTCGGTGGGTGCAGCAATCGAACTAAGAAAGCAGGGAAGGAGACATTGCGAGATGGCCCGACGAATGACGTTCTGGGAGGATAGACCTCGTGGGATCCTGCCACCAAGAATATCAGAGGGCAGGGTTGAAATAAGCCTGCCGGCAAGAAATACGATAGACAATTCGGTAATGGACTGGGTGAGGGTAGAGTTGGTGGAAGATACGGTGTACCTAGTAGTGAAGTTGGAATGGTGTGCGAGAGGGGAGTTCGGGGGCGTAGACTTGAACCTCCCAGGGCGTGTATATGCGACGGGATCCTTACACCTGTCAGAAGAGGGATGCGGACCTTTGGGATTGCTTTGGCTTCCGGGGGTGACCCTGTGCGAATGTTCGAAGGGGCATGGCAAATAACCTGGCAAAAGGGGGTTGAGTTTGCAGACTCGGAACGATATGACGTAACGGCAGATGTAAAAGTCGCCGCGGCGGGGGTTTTCGAGCTGCCAAATGAGGTCATACGGATGAGTCTTCCACCCTTCCTGCTAAGACAAATGGGAGGCATAGAACGAGTGGAGCAGGCGGTGACTGTCGTAACTAGGCTAAATTTTGACGAAGCATTAATGTATCGAGAATACTATCGGGCCTTCCTAGAGATGGGGCCTTTCGGGGACGAACAAGGGCGCGAGGTGCTTTGCATTCTACGAGCAGCGGTAAATACTAGGCCAGGAGTCCCACAAATAAGTGGTGAGACCATGTGGAGAGTCATCCGGCGAGAGGTGGGTCGGGGCGCGACCTACATAGATGATCTCTACCGGCTGTACGAACAGCCAGAGGAGGCTACTGCTCCCGGGAGTATAGAGGGATAGTTGAGACTAGAAAAGAGAAATGAAAACACGAAGGGCAAGGGAGACAGTAGGTGGGCGGATTATGAAGATTGCCTGTAACCCTTTCTATGTGGACAATGCAGGGAATCACCAAGGTAACAATGGCAGCAAGACGTGAGCGAGTGAAACGCCAGCCCCATGTGCGAATGAAACGCCAGCCCTGGTACCCCAGACCGCCCTGGAACAACGATGGACGATGGGAAGTATCCCTCATGTCGAGTTCTACCTATCGGGGGTTCGACGTAGAATGGCGGGCCGTGACTTTGGGAAGGGACGCCGCCTTCGTGTTGGTAGAATGTCGGTGGACAGGGATGAGACTCAACCGAGTACCCGGAGACGATCTGTTTTCCAATCTGGAAGTTACCGGAACTATGTATCTGCCTGAGATCGGCTGGCACTCGTTGGGGGTAGAGATAACACAAGGTCACGAGCTGGCGCCTGTCTTTCGAAGGGCCGCCCGGATGTTGACCCGGATAGGACAATCGGTCAGGGGAAGAAGGAACGTGGGCTTACTTACCCGGGTGGAAATGGGAGGTTGGAGGGAGTTCGGGGCACCGATCACACCGTTGAGATGCCGAGTGCCCCGTTTTATGATAGACCTCGTCTTCGGAAGCCTCGCAAGGGCGCGGGAGCTGGCAGACTCAGCGATAGTCTGGGCAGGCCACTTTCCCTCCCCTACCATTAGGATGYTCTACGATGTCGCTGTGGAGCACGGGCCGTTCTGGGGAAACAGGGCCCACGAATTACTAGAAATCATCCACATCCTGATGTTTTGTGCGCCCCGGCTAGACTGGACGGGGTGCGAACGCATAATCCAAAGGGAAATCGAGATAGGAGAGAATTATTTAACGGGGGTGGCTCAACTATTCGAGGAGCCTACCAAATTGGAAAGGCCACAAAGGCGAGAACGGGACTAGCACCCGCAGGCAAGCCAGTAGGGCAAATCAAACACAGACCGCCACGTTCAAAGGCCACCGACAGAAATACGAAAGGGGGGGGCCTCGGACCCGGATGATCAATTATCGCCAGACAGGGAACACCGCGCAAGAAAACTTTTTCTAGCGGGTTGCCCAACCCGGACCCCTACGCACTGACCAACGGAATAAGGGCGCTCTAAACGAGCCGGTGATAAGGGAAGCTAAGTCACGCCCTTAGCTCGGTGAGGCAGCAGAGCCGGACGCGGCTCCATATTAAGGAAACCATCAGAAAATGGGAATGGGGAAAAACCTAATTACCAAGTAAAAGGATAAACCAACAGGATTGGAACCTAGGGAACCTAAATGCCTCGCACTGCGTTTGTTCTGGGGAATCCTTTGGTTATGCAGAGGTAGGCAAGTATGGCAATGGAGGATGAGACAGGTAATCATGAAAACGAGGAAGGACTAGGCTTAGGAGGCAGTGCTGAGCAAAGCAAGGAAGGGCAGAAGGACATGGAATCAGCAAATCCGAATGGCACCAAGGGGAACCAGAAGGAAATGTCCTCAGGAGAGAGCTCGGAAAAAGCCGAGGGAAGCAGACAGCAGACCCAGGAAAACAAGGAAGACAGAAATAAGGATAGGGGGAGCCCCGGGAACTCGGAGGGAGCTGTGTCTAAGAAAGTAAGGATCACGAACTCGAGACGCAAACTAACTGAAATAGATAAAAGGATCGCGGAATACATGGCAAGGTTAATTGAGGCAATGATGATTGGGAACGAGGAAGGCTCTCTACAGGAGGTATCGCGGGACGAACAGAAAACCAGCCGGGGCGGAACTGGCCAAGGGGACAAGGGTAGTGACCGTGGGGGAACGCCGAGCAAAAGAAGGAAAGAGAGAGAGAATTCGTCAGGAATGGAGGCAGAGAAGGCGACGAACCCCTTAGCCACAGACAGTAGGGCTAGCCGTCTGCTTACCACGCCAGCGGCATCGCGAGGGTGCGAAGGGCTCTGAAGCCTCAGAGAAAGGGTGTTGGGTTGGTTCGACCCGGAAGGAACGGCAAAGGCTAGAGGGGGGCAGAAAGCCAGCAAGGAAGGGCCAGATACCAGCATGGCAGGCGAGGCCAGTAGCTCCGAAGGCGGCCTTTGGAAGATAGTATCATCCCTTACACGGGCACTGAACAAGAACCAAGGCTATCTGGCAGACGCCACGAAAAAGCTGACTTTCGATGGAGCAAACATCACGGAGTTCCTGATCGACTACGAGAACCTAGCTGCGTTACTAAAGTGGACCGAGGAGGAAAAGATGGACCATCTCGGACAACATGTGTCGTTAAGCCTAGGACGGGACATAATGGCCATTGTAGCCGCAAGCCGGTCTTGGACGGAGACCCGGGATGTGATGATGAGGAAGTATCTAGCGGCAGAGAAAATGACAACGGAGGCCGACCTAGCGGCAATTCAGAGGAAGAACTTCGCAACGTACAATGATTTCCTACGGGAATTTACTCTAGTAGCACTAAGGATCCCCGGGGTTACGGACCGGATAATGAGCAAATATTTCCTCAGGCAGTTCTCCGAGTTCGACAAAGACAAGATCATGTCAGCTTACCAACAGACGAGCAAGTTCGTAAACACGCGGGATGTTGATTTTAGCACGGTAACGGATCTGGCTGAGAAAACCGTAGTAACAGAAACGTTGGCCTTGCTCAAGGAAGGAGAGATCATAGATCTGACCGGTAGGACGGGCGACAAGGTAAAGAAGGGGATTGAAAGTCTACATGAACGGGTGCACGGGGTCGACGATAAAATTGAAAGGATGGAAGACGCGTACTGGTTATGCAGGCGCAAGTATCCCGACCCGCCCTTCCTCCCCAGGAAGCTGTGGTTCCGCCAAGTGTAGCAAACCGGGGATTCAGACGGAGAGATCCTGCTAACGAGCAATGCAAGTACTGTACCGCGATAGGACATTATGTGCGCGCGTGCTCAAAGCTCAACCATGATATTCTGAAAAAAAGGTGTATCAGGTCATTAAAGGGGGAGATATTTGGACCACAAGGGGAACGGGTGAACTGGAACTCACCAGGTAGGATGCAGCGAGTCATTATCATGCTCAACGGGTTAGAAATAACAGTCGTAGAAGCCGAACCGGTGGGCGAGATCATATGGGATCAACTTCGGGGGCGCGGGCCGCAGGCCACCTTAATTTTGGAAAGCGACGGACGTGATAGGGTGAACGCAACCACTCGACTGGGAACGACCGGGAGAAGGATTAACCGTGACACCATTATGGAGGAGGTCGTCGGAAGCTCCGAACCCCAGGCAGAGCCTGAGGCCGAGGAACCAGAGAAAATTTATGGGAAGCCTAGGGAAGAGGAGCTTGCGGACAAGGTTACTGCCGCTAAAAAGAAGTTTGGGTATCAAATCCCGATCTTAACCTTGCCTGAGCTCGACGACACCATTAGCAAGTTACTAGGAACCATGGTGTCAGTGTCTTTTCAAACCATGCTGCAGGCTAGCCCTAGGTTGCTCAAAGGGCTCAGACAACTGTTGACTCGGAGGCGAGTAGAAATAGGCGACAACCCCGAATTACCAGAAGGGGAGAGGGAGGAGGAAGCTCCGCAAGAAGTGGCTAACCTTCAGAGGAGTCACGGGGACTTGGAGGATCTCGAAAAAGCCTTTGCAGACATTCGTTTGAGCTTGCCCGACCGGGAGGGCGGCGAAGTCATGAGGTCACCACCCGGGACAAAGCTTAGCTTTCATGCACTGCTCGTAGGAAAACTGAAAATCCAGATCGGGAGTCATCATACCGATGCATTAGTAGACGGGGGAGCAGAAATCACTCTCATAAGGAGAGATTTCGCAACGATCATGGTATGTACGGTAAGCAAGGAAGTAACAGGGAGCATCCGGGGAGCTGGCGGGGAAATCCCGTTCGCTGGGTACGTCACGAAGTGTGCTGTGAAGGCAGGGGTCAGGGAATCGATCTGGTCGTTTCAGCGGATGACCGTAATGGAGGAGATGGACCACGACATAATCATCGGGAGACCATGGTGCGCGAACGTGGAGATGATAGGCGTGCACTTGCACGGTGGCTCATGCATGGTAGACATAGAGGACCCTGTGACCGGCCGGGGAGAGCTCCTCCGAGTCCTTGGAACGGGAGGAGACCCTCCAAAGGGGAAATTGGCGACTTGGTCGCCGTCGTTCGAGGATAGCACGCGAAAAGGGGCTTTCGCACGGATGGAGGGTATGAGAGAAAGGGTAGAAATCATGATTGAGGAAGCATTCAACAAGAAGGAGTGGATCAAGATGGGCCTGCCCCAGAAGAAGAGGAGGCAGGAGGACGAAGTCGTAGGTGTTATGATAGCGGAAAAAGAGTCAGAGGTCGAACTTGGTGCTAGCCTGCCCAAACGGAAAGAAGTACGCATAGACGTGCCAGAAATCGCACTCGAGATCCCCGATGTATTACAACTCATCAAGGCCCTCAGATACCACAAGGTTGGAGTGGATTCGGCAGCCTTGGCCAAGTTCGAAAGAGAGGTGAAAAAAGGATATTGCCTGAATGAGAAACTAGTTAGTATTCAACCACGAGTCGTAGAGGCGACGGGGGCAATTCCGACTGTTCATTTTTTAGGAGAAAGATCCCGGAAGGAAGTGTTCGAAAGTACAAGCCGGTAGGGAAGAAAGCAAAACCGGTCTCGATCCTGCTAGAGACATCAACGGAAGAGGCTATGGAGAAGGAGGAAGAGGTCCTTCGAGTGATCCGAGAAAGAAGGGCGACGGAGGGACATCGGATACCATATGAGGTAGTTGATACAATGAAGATAGGGATAGACGGGTTCTTAACGGAAGAAGAAACCCGCCCGATCAAAAGGACCTGCCAGGAGTTTCACCTTGCATTTGCCTTTAGTGATCACCAGAAGGGACGACTGAATGTGAAATTGATCCCTCCGGTTAGAATCCACACGGTAGAACATGAGTGCTGGAATGACAAGGGGCCATCCTATGAATTTGGGATAGCAGGAGAAGTAACAGACCTCCTCCGAGCAAAGATGGACTCCTTCGCTGCGGAGCCTACGACATCGCCAAACGCAAATCGGTGGTTCGTCTTTCGGAAGCCTAACAAGACACTAAGGTGGATTCAAGACGTGTAGAAATTGAATGCGGTAACCATCCGGGATGCTGGCTCGCTACCTCAGGCTGACTTATTAGCAGAATCACACGCCGGTCGGAGCATTTACTCCCTGATAGATCTGTACTCAGGGTACGACCAACTTCCATTGGATGTTCGGGACAAGCCATACACCGCTATGCACACCCCCGTAGTCCAACTACAGATGCAAGTGACCCCTATAGGATTCACAAACGCGGTGGCCGAAGCGCAACGCAGGATGCTCGCCGTGGCCGGGGACATGTTCCTTGAAAAATGTGAGTCTTACATCGATGACAATCCGATCAAAGGCGTGCAGGAGAAGGACGAGACGAAAGTCCAGCCAGGGATCCGACGCTTTGTGTGGGACCACCTGCAGGACATCAAGGACTTATTTCGTCGGTTCCTAGTATACAACATTACAGCTAGTGGACCAAAGAGTATCCTAGCAGTACCGGAGGTAACTATACTATGATTTCGTTGCGGTGCTTACGGCAGGAAGCCGGATCCGGCAAAGACCGACAAGATATCACAGTGGCCGACACCACTGCGCAGGACGACGGAGGTAAGGGCATTCCTAGGCGTAGTTAGCTTTTGGAGGATCTTCATTAAAAACTTTGCCAAGATTGTTGAGCCTATTCGAGCTATGATCAGGGAAGAAGGAACCATGGATTGGACGGAGGAGCGAGAAGAACTGTCCAAAGGCTCAAGGACATATTGACATCTGAGACAGTCGCCCTGTTTGCACCTTGTTTTAATGACGAAGTGGGACGAGCCTTCATCCTAGAGACGGATGAAGGACCTTTGGCCGTAGGAGGTGTGTTGATTCAAAGGGACGAGGGAGGGAAAGAGAGACCAATTAGGTTTGAAAGTAGAACCTTGAACTCCGCAGAACGGCGGTATTCGCAATTCAAGAAGGAAGTCCTAGCCATCCTTCATTGCCTTAAGACCTTCCAGACCTACCTATTTGGGGGGCGGTTCATCTTAAGGATCGATCCGACGAATGTCGCAGGGACTCTAAAGAATTACAGGCCTATAGATCCGACGGTAGGGAGATGGGTAGGATTCATCTGGCAGTTTGATTACAAGATCGAACAGATTGCTGGAATCCGCAACAAGGCAGATGGACTGAGTCGGGTTTGCATCACTTCCGAAGGGATGGAGGATGCAGAGCCCATAGACGCATTCCTCGAATACGAAGGACGGACTCTCGCGGTGGATAACGAAATGATGAGCGGGGGATGCACATCGGGATAACTATTGATCCAGACTTTGGAGAAGGGGGCACCTGTCGTAGTAGCAGAACTTAGAGAAGGACCAGTTACCACTCGAGGACGCAGAGAAGAAAATAACTCATGGGGAGCGATAGTAGGACCGAAAGAGGATTGAATAGCAATGGCAGTCGATGGAGGCCGGGAAGTAGTGATGAGTTTAGTGGAATCTTGGGAAAGGAAAGAGTTGCAATGGGTGGTAAACCAGATGCAGGAAGGAAAGGATGAGGGCAAGGAAGGAGAGGAGTTTTTCTATGTCCAATCATACGAAGGGCTCTTTCGGGAGATCGGACTGTTGTTGGTTGAAAACAAACAACCTATGGAAGTCAGTATTAAAGCAAGAGAAGAAGCCGAAAGGTACGTCCTAAGGGGCGGGCATTTGTTCTGAGGGGAGGAATGTGCTATGCCCAGAAGGGTTGTGTACGGAAGACCTAGGCAAGTAGACGTTATCCAGGCAATGCACGACAAGTTAGCTGGAGGTCATCGGTCATCCAAAGGAACACTTGCATAGATAACACCGCTCTATTATTCGTCAGGCATGGCAGGCATGGTCGCCATATACTGCCAGACTTGCCTTATTTGCCAAGAACGAAGCTCGGTGCGGGTCTTCGAGCCGCTTAGACCAACGCGGGTGCTAGGGCCGGGACATCTGGTCCACCTCGACCTTGCAGTCATGCCTGTATCAACGGACGCGTACAAGTATATCCTGAACGCGCGAGACAACCTGAGCGGGTTCGTGGAGGCAGTCGCCCTCAAGAAAAAGACAGGGAGAAGTGTGGCGGACTGAATAGAAGACTTCTACTTGAGGCATCCGTTCGTTAGGAGGTTTATTGCAGACAATGAGACGGAGTTTGTGAACCAAGAAGTATTGGGGATGTTTAAGAGACTCTGCGTACCGATCAAACTCATCGAGCCATATCACCCTGAGGCCAACGCACCTGTGAAAACGGGGCACCGAACATTGAAGAACACGATTGCAAAACTCGCAGCGGACCATCTGGGGAACTGGCCTAGGTATCTTAAGCAGGCTGTCTTTGCAGAAAATATGACCCTTAAAAGGATAACAGGATTTATCCCGGCAGAGCTTTGGTACGGAAGACAGATCGACTTTCCTGTGGAAGCCTTGGTACCTACCTGGAATAGGTTAGATGAAGATCCTCAAATGACCACTGAAGAGTTAATCGAGGCAAGATGTCAACAAATCCTTAAGAATGAGGAGATCATGAAAGACATCGCCAACCGGGTACTAGACAGCAGAATGAGGGACAAAACAAGGTGGGACCAGGTTAAGAACGTCAGAAAGGAGCCACTTCAAGTAGGAGAGATTGTATTGCTAAGGAACTCGGCACTAGAAAGTACTTGGTCGGGACAGCTGGGAAGAAGGTTCAAATGCCCCTACCTTCGAACTGGAAGATTTGGATGGAACTGGGTTGAAAGGGCCCTTCCCGGGGCAACGATTGGTCACGTTCCTAAGTCGGGACCCAGTGGAACAATAGCTTCAGGAGGCCGAAGATAAGGAAACTGAAGAGCCACAAGCTCAAGACTGACCATAGCCTTGCCCGCACTATGGGTTGTCTCTGACCATGTTCATGGGGCAATCATTTTTTTGGGGACTGACGCTTTGGCTTGGACTGACTGAGGTTGAAAGGCAGCGTGACTTGGGGGTTTGCAATATTTGGCTTATGTGACAACGGGAAGGGATGTTTGGGGCATTGTATCATAGTTTTTTACGGGAAAAAATGGATTCATCACAAACGACGCATTCGCATGTATAATAGGGGCATGCTGCGAAGAATGTTGGGAGCATTCTGGGAAAAAAGGGGGGGACTACGTACCAGACTGGGGGAATGGGTGCATGAGGGGTTTTGCGGGTGTTGTTTTGTTATACAGGATCTAAAAGAAAAAAGAAGATGAAGTTCAGTGATGAAAATGACAGCGGGGCAATCAATAGGCCTACCAGAGGGGAGGAAGCAGGAACAAGCCAAGGGAGGAGAGCAGCAAAGAGAAAGTTGTATATAGGACTCATGGGTGGCCCAGTGGTAGGCAGGGGAGGAAGAAAATGCTTGCGTAGGAAAACCTCACCCCTTCGCGAGGGAGAAGGTATAAAAATCTCGTCTGACAGTGAGGGAGGGAAGGAAAAGGCAGAAATGGAAGAGAGAGGCAATACAGAGATGGGAAATAAGGTTCAGGTCTCTGACGAGGAAGGAGTCAACAGGGGCAAGCGACGTGAGACTTGGCATGGGGAAAGCGATGGAGGACAAGACATGCGCGAGGAATATCAGGAGGGTGAGGAAAGAAGAGAGAGCCCGCTTGAAGGATGAAGTAGCCACGACAATTGCGAGGGGTATGGGACGGGGACAAAGTTTCTTTTTACCTACGATCCAAAGAACCTTGCGGGTGAATATAGCCCCATATAGACAGAAGACGAGAAAGGGATTATCAATGGACAAATGTGATCAGACACGAATGAATTATCAAGACTCGGGAACTCGCAAGGGAAGGAGTGAAAGCCACACCACTGGATTTTTTTAACGAGGCAGAGTTACGAAAAATTATAAGGATGAAAAGAGAAATCGAGACCTACGGCTTGGGAGTTAGAAGGTTTGCCAAGGAACAGGGTGGACAAGGAACTGGGCAAGACGAGACACAAGGCAGCAATAGGAACAAGGTGTTGACTTAGCACTGAAAAGGATCGTCATTTTTCTGTCTGCGGAGACTTGAGAATAACGAAAATGTGTACAGTATGGGCAAACTTGCCAAGGATGAAGTGAAAAGAGGGTCAACTAAGGCTGTGTCACGATAAGATAGAAGATAGTTTTTAGGCTACTTTTTGGAGGAGTTACCTTGGGTACATAAGACAAAGACATGAGATTTGGGATGAGACCAATTGGGAGAAGGTGTATTGTAAATTCTGGATGAAATAAGGATTAAGCTTTCGAGAGGGAAAAACCTTGAGTACAAATTGACGAGCGAACCATGACATTGAATGATTAGTCGAGTATAAGAGAGGTTAGGGAACCTATGGGTTAAGGGGCGTGAATAACACTCCTTCCCTAGGAGCCTAATCCAACTGAGTCATAAGTTAGTCTGAGAATGGTCAAGATCTGAGTTGTCGGAACAAGTGAAGAAAAAAGGGAGCGCCCCTGTCTCTTGTTGTGGTTGAACGGTCGGGTGAGCTAGTGCTGCTTGGGGTCGTGAGCCCCAACTCGAGTGCTAGATGCTAAGTCGGATGTATGCATGGATAGTACATTACTGTGAGAAATGGAATGGATGGTACATTACTGTGAGAAATAGAATGGATGGTACATTACTGTGAGAAATTGAATGGATGACACATTACTGTGAGAAATGGAAGAAGGAGAACAACACGCAAAAAAATGAGATGACCACCTTCTAACCTCCAAGACAGAAATGAAATCCGTAACCTCGAGGCCCACCCCCTCGGGCACTAACACTGAGAATGGAAAGGAATGACCCTAACCAGGCTGTTCGACTTGAGAATGGAAAGGAATGTCCCTAACCAGGCTGTTCGACTTGAGAATGGAAAGGAATGACCCTAACCAGGCTGTTCGACTTGAGAATGGAGAGGAACGACCCTAACCACGCTGTTCGACTTGAGAATGGAAAAGAACGACCCTAACCAGGTTATTCGGGAACGGCCCCTGACAAGGGTCATTCCTTTGGAAATAGGCACTGGGGTCCCCTGCATATTTGATTGAGAAAGGTTGATTGAGAGTGTGTTGGAATGAGCAATAAGAGATGGAAAAGGCCGATGGGTCGGTCATTGAAATAGCCAAAGGATGGATGAGAGAGATGGAAAAGGCCGGTGGGTCGGTCATTGAAATAGCCAATGGGATGAGAGAAATGGAAAAGGCCGGTGAGTCGGTCATTGAAATAGCCAAAAGGGAAGAGATGAAAAAGGTCGGTGGGTCGGTCATTGAAATAGCCAAAGAATGAATGAAAGAGATGGAAAAGACCGGTAGGTCGGTCGTTGAAATAGCCAATGGGATGGACGGAAGAGATGGAAAAGGCCGGTGGGTCGGCCGCTGAAATAGCCAAGGGGGCGGAAGAGAGATGTGAATGAGAAGGACATGATAAAGAAGGCGGAGTCTTAAAGCCGAGAAGGGCAGGGACCGTTGGAACGGTCACAGAGATTGGGTGCTGAGGAATGAGAGAATTGAGGAGTGAATGGGCGGAAGGGGCATTCTTGAGAAATGACTATTGAGAAAATGACCGCAAGACCGGCCATGTGGGTGGCCTTGTTGATGAGAGGTTGTCGGACCAGCCATGAGAATCAACCTTGGAAATAGCATGGGATTGAGTGTTTGAAGATTGAATATTGCATTGCATAGCCAGGGGACCCTAGGCAACTTGATGTAAGGTAGTCGGGCCGACCATGGAAATAGCAAGAGATTGAGTTTTTTTTTTTTTTTTTCTAGTCTCAGGTCTCAATATAAGGGGGATAGCAATGCCTGCATCGCGACCCCAAGACCTCTACCCGTTAAGGGAAAAGTCCTAGCACGACCTGCTCCTCATAAGAAGGAATAAGGGTTGAAGGACCAAAGCACCTCTCTTTTTGATTGATGCTGGCCGTCCGGAACCAATCCCGACAACGAGCTCTAGTCGAGGAGTTTAAACTGCGCCTCGTGTTGAAACCTAAACGTCAAGGGCGTGGTGCCAAACGGGCGAGAGAGTCATTCTTTTTCCTAAGTCTCATTTTTTATCCCCAACCACACGTCATGTCGTAGAGGGGCGACACTGCCGTTTGGAATGGACCACAACCGCTCGCGTTAAGTTGAGCAGCACTGTCCAGAGGAAGGAATCGGGCGTGGTACCGGGTGGAAGCCGCAACCACCACAGGGCGAGTGACACCGCCCTGCCGGATCGTTACAACCGTTTCGAGACTAACCGTGAGGTCTTCGTAAGTGCACTCGTAGACTAATAGAGAGCCCCAACTCTCTTAAAAGGAAGAGGTCGGATCTAAGAAAACACCGCTCGGGAGGAACGATTCGCGAGAAAGCACTTATGGCAAGATGGGGTCCTGGGAGGCTTGAACTGAACCTACCTTCCAGATGTGGGGTGGTACCTCAGTGATGACACCCGTCTCGTAAGCAGCAAAAGGTCGAACTGGAGTAGGGGATGAGGTGAGTTATCAGCAGGGGGAGGACTGATCACCCTTCCTTTTTGGGGCTGATGGACCGGCATCCGTCTACTCAGTTGGTGGGTCAAGGTCTGCGTACATCCGAGTGAGAACTAGTCGTGCGATGGGGACATCGCATTTTGAGTGGGGGGAAGGTGTGCCATCTACCGAAGAAAAAGCGTGCAAA